ATTTAAAGAAATATACATTGTCAGATATTTTATTGTTGATACTATTACTTTGGAAATGCTAATAAAATATCGAAAAATTTTGAAAAATTTTCTCAATGTTCGAGAACAGCAACGGTTAGATGTGGGTGTGGGTGTGGGTGTGGGTGTGGATGGTGTTGGTGTGGGTGTGAGTATTCTGTAACGGCACCCACACGCACACGCACACCCACACCCACACCCACACCCCCATTCTGACTTTTTTCGACGATTGAGAATACTAGGAAGCGATTGTATAGGTATTGGATGCAATGCTTAAACGATCGCTTATGTTGCTCGAAGCCGAATAAGTGGACATTTCGAACTACTTGAGATAGAATATCTGTGCATAGCTAAGTCTACAAGAGAATTATTCCCTGTCTTCTCAATAAATATAACAGATTTTCCTGGTATAAATAATTGGAAGCAAAAATGAGCCGTAGTAATGCAATAGTATGATCAATACTATTACTTATACTTTATTGCAAGCAAAAGTAATATCCGTTATTATTAGATTCGACTTGATGATACTCATTCTGAACTACAAATATAAGTATCAGTTATTGATGTTTCTCGAACTCCGAAAGAAATGTCAACTTAATATTTTAATGTACAAAGATATGTAACTTTCCTGAGCTTCTTTGAATATCAAGTCCTTTTAGACATCCTCTGCTTCATTCAAGTAATTATTTGTCAAAATGAAAGTGGATTTTCACTCTTTTTTCTATTAAAGTTGAAATATCTTGTGATCCCCGCTATAGTAATCTTAACCAGGTGTTTTTCGAGTTAGATTTAGTCGAAAGAATCCTTTCTCGTTTCTCTCAACACAAAAGCTTAGACCCCATGATAATTATTTGTCATCATATTATAATACATTTGGTATTTTCGTCATCTTGAACTAGGCATTTCTTAGATAGTACTTGAAATTCACAATAGCCCTTTCTACCCGCGTCTGACTCTTTTCCTTATTCGAACAAGCATGAATATAAACTTGGCTCAACAAAAACCGTACGATTCAAATGATCGAAAAAAACAGAGCACGTAACAACTATTTTATCTGATACAATGAAACAAACTTCATTGGCGAAATTTTCTTCTCAAGCATTTTTCTACGTAGAGTCTTCTCAGAAAAATATGAAGATTGGTTTTGCAAAAGATATATGATACATAATCAATTAGTGTTCAATCGATCTATTAGATTCGAGCATTGATGAAATGCCTTAATACTGTCGACTAACGCAAACGCTCTCTTTGCTAAAGTAGTCGGATAGCTGGGTACACCTGTTGGACTTTTATAAAAAGGTCGTTCCAATTTTGATTTTTTTGGAAAACAAGGTTGATGAAAAATATTTGATAGTAAAAATGTATTTTGAATTTCGAGTGCTCTTTCTAAACGATGCAGCGCTTCTTTGCATCGCCCATAGTCATACAACAGAATACCAATTGTTTTGTGCAATACGCCAGCATCCAGTTGATGTTTCGGGATATTCGAATCGTTCAAAATTTCTAATGCCTTCCGAAAATAATCAAGAGCGATCTCATATTGATTGCGATCATCACGATAACATCTGTCCCTATGAAAGTATGTTGATACCAGAAGAAGAGCACTGTTCTATAGATATTGTGTTATTTCTTCGAGAGCACACTGCTAATTATTTTCACACCATTATGTTATTCTAATTTGATTGTATACATTAGCATGGTTTCGTTGTTAAGCGTACTAATGTTTTTTTTCGTAAAGACAAAAACGTTTCCGAGCTCCATCAATCTTTCCATGAAACCGACACAATGCAATCAATCCGTCGTGAGCAAATCCAAGATCTGGATCGTCTGAACAGATTTAGCTCTGTAACATGTGATAATAATGTTCAGCTCGTAGAATGCGACCAAGAGACAGTAGACAAGACATATCTGTGATCTCTCATTTGAAATGCCCTATAATATGTCCAGCATTTTCTTCGATTGTTGTTAATTTCACTAAGGAAATATGCTTTTAATCGAATCGATTCGAAAAATAAAACCGAAAGCACAAATAACTTCTTGCTCGTCTGGTATCGAGCTATAAGCACTAATTGTCGCAAGTGGTCTTGTTTGCATTCGTACATCCAGATGAAAATCAAAGAGAACAGAAACATAATTTCGACAGTTAGTTTCACGAGAGCAAGTGAACGATCTTTGCTCCGTAGTTGACAGAAAAGTACTCATTGAAATTCGACTACCAATGTTTGATTTTATTTTTTGAAATTCGTGTTTATTTTTCATTTGACCACAATATGTTCTTCAATAGTGTGACGTTCCTGTTCATGTAAATTGTCTTGTTGATGGTAGAGATCGACAATGAAATAACGGAATCGAAATATTCTATCGATATCTTCTGTACGAAAAGCTTTATTGAGTACATGATAAACAAATACAGCTTTTGTATACCATTGACTAGCATCATTTGATTTGCACGTTGATTCGAATTCTTCGATCATACGCAATGTTTTAATATTATGAACATTTAAACGACGGCATTCACCTATTATATCACGTTTTGCAGTCAGTGTTGTTGCTATACATAAAAGAACTTCGACAAACAATTGAAACCAAATAAAACTTGGATTTTCTTGACTTAGATTTCGACTCGGTTTTTGTTTTTCTTCAACAGTTGAGGATGATGGAAAGAAAAAACTCATTGGAGGGTACGAATCGAGCTCAGCTATCGAAGCCACATCCTTAGTCAATTGATCTGCAAGCTCCTGATTGTTATTGAAAACGCCTTTCATTAATGAATGCTTCACGGACTAGAGTATATGTTTATCACCGTCATGACAGAAAATATAGATTCCGACAAATTCACAAATGATTTTACGCTGTTCCTAATTTAGTAACCGAGAAACAAGCTGTTCTCCAATACTTCCAGATACGGCGATAAATAGACGATTCGATGCTGGTAGACTGGTACAATACTCAATACATTGTTCAACATCATTGAATATCTCCATATAATCGACAAGACAACAAAACCGTGCTTGCCGATTGCGTCGAACAGTTTACATCTAGTCATACGATACTGATATTAGATTGAATACTTTCTTCATTTATTGATTGCTCATGTTTGCACAACAGAGAATGCTACTATAATTTGTTTTTCCATTTTCAAGAGTACATATTTACCAAAAATCATGCAAATGCCATGCTAATATTCGGAAAAATAGTAAGATTTTTATCAAAACTTGTTTGTCTTCAATTCATGCGCATTTTTCTTCAGATTCTTGTGATGTCAACTTTTTTCTTTCTGATACGTCAAACTAAAATTGAAAGGATGTATATCTTGATTCATTCAACGATGCGAGTATTCTTTCCCTTGTCTACTGAATGAATTTGTACTTTTACCATAAAAAGACGTATTGCCATTATGGCAAAGAAATTTTATACAATGCTTTTCAATTGGTAATGGTTATTGATTATATTCACAAATTGATTATCTCGCTGTCACAGATATAGCAATTTGACGGATATTGCAAGGCTTAAAAATACCTACGAAGCTGTACGAAAACTATAATGTGATCAATTATTATTATATTGATGGTTGTATAAATCTATCCAATATAATGTTTTTTGATTATTTCAAACAATTTGAAGACAATGTAACCAATATGAATGACACCTTTTGAAAGTATTTTGTGACAGGTTGGCATAGGAATAAAACAAAGGAATCTATTACATCATTTACTACTCCATTTCGTATCATTTTTGAATGCTATAAGTAATATAAAGTCGAAAAAATATTCTTCTTTGTATAATTATGTTATGATAAACCATATGACATTGATTTGAGTTACAGTTTGTAAATTATGATTATCTGAAACTCTCAGAATAAGAATTTCTAAGAATAAATCTTTCTAGGTGAGTTAGAGTGTAAATTCGATATCATTGAGTCATTTTATCATCCGCTTTGAATATGAGCTCATTACATGACGCATAATATTTTTTATAAACCTATTTCTAAAGTAGTAATTGACTAAGATTGTAATCAGATAAGGTTTTTTTTTAGATAAGTCAACGGGTTTTAGTGTTTACCAAATAAGCTTGTAAAAAAGGAAGTGACGATCGTAATGCGACTTAACTATACATTGTATTCTTTCTGTTCTGCTATTATACCTGAACGATACGTATACATTTTTCTTTTATTCTTTTCTTTTTTCTTCTCTCATAATTTACTATAGGCATTTTCCATCACATCCAAACAACATTAAGCTTTTTCCCAGTTTGTTCATCGATATGTATCTGTCTTTCACAAAATAAAGATTCAGTTTCAATACTAGTCCGTTAGATCAATCTCCTGCTAGCAGGACACTGCAATATATGTGGATCTATTAATGAAGAGTATACATAGTAAAATTTCAGTAAATACAAATCATGTTTTTATCGAAAGGGTCTTTTTTAGGAAAGAATAATCACTTCGGTGAAAATTACACATTACAATGGAATTTCATGACATGATAAAGTAATTTGCTTGTCGTGTAGAATTGTGTAATCAGTATTGTAATACAACATAAATATTCAAAGAAGAATATCCCTACTGTGTCTGATGACTAAGAGTATGCTATTATTATTGCTCTTATCAGCAGTTCTATTTAAATATTAAGTAAAGAGAAAAAGCATGATGCGAATATATTATCCATGTGTCTTCAAAATGACTAATTTTATCTCAACCAATGCATTCATTTATAATAATAAATAATTTAAAATAGGATTTGTTGGAAAATATGACATTTCGATCAGTATGCAATTCGTTTTTTTCTTTGTAGGGAAAAACCTAAATGGTGTGGCTTGTTTTGTTTCGAGTGTATTTAAATCAATAGACATGAGTTTTTTTTCATTCTGCTCTTCCACCTCAGATAAATTATAGGATGAGTCAGTTGGAAGGTAAAATCATAAATTGCATCATTTTTCAAAAATATAAAAGCCTAGCGTATTATCGCGTAAAACAAACATGGGACACAAAGTGAGTGGACAACGTAGAAAACCGGACAATCAATTATATAAAACAAATCAGACACGCACTGGCAATACATCTGTAGGTTAATACATTTGTTTTTTATATCAATAACTGAAGCTAATATAGGTGACCACAAACAAAAATACTTTTCAAGTACACAGTAATAGTAAACGTAAGAGAACTTTTATTTTGTACAATGTAGCATATTTTAAAATGATTGATTTGTTCTTAATTAAATTAAGAGCAATATCGTGAACCTCTAAATAACCAATATACAGCAGCATCGTTTTCACTCAATAAATATGGATTTAATCAAGCTTTAAACGATTCTTTACTCAACTCGACAAATGTTAGTCTTTTTTCAGAATGACAGTCGAAGATTATAATTTATTCAATTTTTTCAGCCTCGACCATTAGCTCTTTACATATATGATGATCAAAGTTTAGCTACAGATATCTTTAATCAACTTGTACTACATTCAGAATCAATCAGTGCTTATCTCAAGGAGCAATTTATATTATGGAAATGGAGTCTAACACAAGAAAATTATCATGAGTAAATTAAAACAAAGAACATACAACAAATATCTATTTTTCGCTTTCGCAGGTTTTTGACTATAGTAGCGACAGATGCTGGTGAAGAAGTCGCAGCGGTTATTGATTCCTTACCGAGTGAAGTTTATCCATTGCTTATCTGTCTTGTATTCGATAGAGGTGAAATAAAAGTTAAAAGTGTTATTCATGGAACAATGTCAGACAGGGAAGCACTTCCTCTTCTTCTTCAAGCTCGAGATACATTTGTTGCTGCATTTGAATTACCAGATACAAGTGGTTTACGTATGAGAAATATTTCAACAGAAAATTAGTCTATACCTAAAAGCACTGCGATAAAAGTACCAAAGGACTCAGATGAATTTACAAGAGTAGCTGCTGATTTCAATGGTGAAACATCATCGATTATTAGTATTCATCGAATTGAAAATACAATGTGGTTAATTCAATATCTCAATCAAAAACAAATGATTGAGAATCGACTTGGACATAATAATACAGAAAGATTATTATTTCATGGTTGTCCATATGAAGCAGCTAAAAATATTCTTCAGCAAGCATTTGATCATTCACGTATCGGAACAAATGGTAAAATAAAATATAGAATAAATTTAAGTTGTATTTGATTAATTATTATTATAGGCACTGCTTGTGGGCATGGATTTTATTTCTCATCAAGCCGATATGTTAGTGATCAATATGCTGTACCAAATCCTTCTACTGGTGCAAAAAGAATGCTTATGTGTCGTGTACTTGTTGGTCGAAGTTGTCAAGGTAATTCAACAATGACAAAATGTCCATCAAGCTACGATTCAACAACAAATGGATCAGATGTTTTTGTTGTTTATTCTAATCGACATATTTTACCAGAATATCTTATTACATATAAATAAACGTTGTACATAAATTTTTGTGAAATATGTTAAATCTTTTATCAATTTCTTGTATATAAATCTGTGTCATTGTAAAGTACTACTCACAGTCACGTTACTTTTATTTTTATATTATTTACCAAAGACTCTTTCTTTGGCTTTGAAATTGTTGAAATTTTCAGTTTCTCTTCATGATCGACATTTAGAACTTAGTATGTGGATCAAAGATTACTTTGAAGATAAATTAAGGCGTAAGAGGACCCCTACATTTGGATCCATCGTATTTCAATTTCGCAGAGATAATGGTTCAAACTTTTTTTTTATTCAGAAGTGTTTTTATCACTGCAGTAAGTAAATTAGTTCATATCGAGATGACTGATATTTTGATACAGAAGAAGCAATTAGTTATGCACCTAAATCAAAGTTCGTCTTTGATTTCGCTAGCTGTCGAAGTTTTGCTTTACATTCATAAGATAGATTGCAATATTCCATCCAGAATTTCTTTAATGAATGATTCGACTCAAGCATTAATATTAAAGCATCAACACTGGCATCAGTAACTAATTTATTCGAACGAAGATCTAACCATTCGAGTGTGGTGTTGTGTCGTGTTAATGTATCAGCAAACGATTGCATTCCATCGTCACCGAAACGGTTGTGATAAAGCCAGAAACGTCGCAATGTCCGATTAGTCTTGAGTGTTTCAGCAAGATCTATGGCGACTTGATCTGTAATATTATTTTCTGAAAGGCTCAATGATGTTAGAGCCGAACGATTCAGAATGAGTGACAAATAATGTACTTCAATATCCATTATTTGGTTACCATCGAGAAATAATTTTTGTAACGTATTATTATTCTCTATGCTATCTGCTAAAATTCGAGTACCTTGTATTATGAGCATGTTATCATGCAACCATAGAGATGAACACCGCGTGTTGATGATTGCACCTTCAGCAATTATATTTATATCTTGATCAGCTAATGCTCGATTACTCAAATCGATTTTGGCCGATATTTCGCATTTCTCGATATCTTCTTTGAGTTTCGAATCTTGATTGTCAGGTCTTGTCATCGTTTCTTCAGTCTTTCCGTGCTGGACTGGCTTTCGTTTAATAATATACTAAAATGAATTATGCTATACAATAAACATATCAATTTCTACAAGTGATATCTTAAATGGTTCTTTGTTTTCTTTTAAATGATGTGAAAGACAAGTACATCTACCCATAAGAGTGAATATTAGAGCTGGAAATTTATCACCATGAAAAGGCTATTTGTCAGAAGTAATGGTATTTCATAAAGTTTGATCACAACTTATCGATATCAAAACAGTGAATGTTATTTTTCTTACTGTGTATATTTCAACGACCTTGATGTTAAACATTTATACGAGAGAAAAAATTAACACGACGAAAAAGGAACCCTACCTGCACACTACAAGAAAGAAAAGAGCTCGAGCAAGTTTTATATAGTCGAGAAGTAAACCCATTTGTATGAATTAAAATGCGCTTTTATGTTTTCAAAAAAAAACCATTTTTTGTAAAAGGAAGTCAGGTTGATGAAGATGATACCCACTAAGTTTCTTGTTAAAAAAATAAGACATAGTTTTTTTATCTTTTTATCAGCATAAAAAGTCAATATTTATACGCATAATAGCGCTATTTTGTTTACCAATTTTGTCTGACTGGGACAGCATAGAAAAATGTTTGTTCTTTTTTGAACTTACTCTTTTCATCATGATCGCTGTGTTTCCTTTTTTTTCTCTTCGCTGGTCGAATGACGATTTTAGTCTTAGTTTAAAAAAATTTGTAGACCTAAAATGATACCAATGATAAAGATCGTACAGATATTTGAATTCATTTATCTTCAGATTTTGCATATATTTTATCAGTAAGAAAATCGAGGATATGAGTATTAATACATCTTTCATCTATAGTTTTGATGAAAGTGGCTCACTCGATATCTTGTTTATTTCCAAAACAAATCGTATGAATTTGATTAATCGTCTACTTGGTTGTGCCTATGGGCAGGCACTAGGTGACGCTTATGGTCTATCGACTGAATTTCAAAAGCGTTGTGCAGTGGCGAACACTTATCCAGATGCAACTCAATTAATTCCCTTTCCGAATTATGAACAAACTCAATATTCAGCTCGATGGACACGTGATGATTGGACAGATGACACAGATCAATGGTTATTACTCATGGAAACATTGAGTGCACATGATGATGATGTGAAGATCTTTGCAAGAAAATTAAATATGTAGATTCGACATGGATTTCCTGAATTGGACGATTTTGGAGATTTAGAATTAGGTGCCAATGTAGCTAAAGTAACTTCGGTTTTTGTTTTCTTATTTCAGAAGAACAAAATAATACAATTTTTATTATTTAATAGGTCAAAGGGGGAAAAGCGGATCCCGGATCCCAAGATCCCGCTGAATCCTATTGGATCCCGTAGATCCCGCTGGATCCAATTGTATCCCGTAGATCCTACTGTATTTCTATTGGATTCTAATAAATGTTTCTAAGTATTTGTGAGACCGTGTTAACCTCCAAATTCTCCTTCTTCGCTCTCATAAGTGTTGACTGATCTGATGCAGGGAAGCATTTTATTTTTCAATGATTTCTGTTGATGTTTTTCCCATTATTATCTTTACAAGACAGATTCTTCGAATTATTAGAACCTTCTAGAAAGCTGCTAAAAAGATAATTGCTGTTGAACGAAAAGCTACAACATGTTACGTGGTATGAATAATATATAATACAAAAAATTGAAACTTTATTCGGACAAAAAATGAGAAAGATTGAGTAATTCATCAATATATTTCATGTTATTCAATCAAAGTTCAGTTTGAAATAAGTTAAAAACGATTAATGCTTTCATTGACAGTAATAGCGTGGCGTTGGTGCGCTTCATGTATTTATTTCACCCTTTGTGAATCATGACAGAAATTACAATTATCTATTCTAATTATACTAATATTTCTCTCGAATACATCTATCGGCTTGTCCACGTAACGTGACACTTCGCTGATCAAGTTTTTGAAAACTTTTTTTTTAAAGATGGGCCGATCTCGATATATCATCAGATGTAGTTTTTTACGCTGATTACGAATTTAACATTTTTTCTTGAAAATAATTGTATTTTGAACACCAAAATCGAGTGTTAAACTTTTCAAAAATCGTATTTTTAATTTTTTAAGGGAGAAAGTTTTTTGAAAAATGCTGGCTATCATACCATTCGATACAGAATTTAATTCTCTACAAAATAGCCTTTTTATTTTTAACTTTTACTCTTCAAGGCAACTTTTACATTGTTGTAGAGGTTTAAACTTCTCGTACTAGTAACGAGCTTCCGCTTCTATGTAGCAAGCTGGTTTTTTGTACAGTGGTTGTATGCTGAGAAAAGACCAACGGCTGTGAAAATCAAATAGATCTGAGCATGTTAAGTGGTCCAAAATTTATTGACAAAAACAGTGTAACACAGTTAAGAAAAACGTAACACCGTTACGTTTGTTTTTTGCTTTTTTTACGCAAAGAAAAGAAGTTAGGATAAATTTTGTTTGTATGATTGTGAAGCTCATTAAAAGCTCTACAAAATTCGCCCTTGTGACATTTTATTTGGACTGCGGCTTTCGCAGGAAATCACGGCTTAAGGACAAATATTTCAAATTTAGGGTCCTTTTATGTGACTCCGTTACGCAATCAAAAAATCTTTTCAGAGACTCGAAATTTCGACAGGAACTACTCATTTTTATAGCATAAATAGAGCATGGTGAGCTGCATCTAATGGTGCTTGAATGAACTTTCTAGCTCCTAAAGTTCTCGAGATAATTGGCAAATAGTATGTCAAAAAAGGTAACACCTTTACGCTTGGACAAGCCGCTATACTCTTCTCCAATAAGTACAATATACGTATATGATTACTATCGATTTAAATAATTTACCTGATGAAGTTCTTTTCTACTCAAACGATCAATTTTACAAGTTCATTGAAGATTGTTTAGGTGTCGATGAAATGAACTTATTGAAAATACAATCAATTAAAAACATCGGAATACTGCTAAACGTACCGGACGTTTTTGCTATACTTAGTGTGAATTGTAAAGAACTTGTTGATCTTAGAAATAGTATTTGTTTTGTCGATGAAGATAATAACAATATTATTATTAAATCAGGAATCAAAGCTGGTATGAACAGTGTGATAACAACACTTCAAGAGAAAAACAGCAAGTATATTAAACAAACAAAAAACTCCAAATCATCATCATCATCATTATCATTATCCTATACAACAAATCATCTTCATTCGAGTACATCTTTGTCAAGTGCACTAATTTCTGATTCTATCGATTCGTCATTAACATCAACACCAACAACAGCACTGAATTTAATGCCGATCAATCATTACATCGATATAATTTCAGGCCGCATAGGAAAATTTTCTATCAACACTTTTAAAAACGTTATTTAAAAAAACAACGGTGATTATTTTATACCTGTAACTTCATTAGATTCGAACATAAATGGGCAAATAAAATGTGGTTGTAATACAATAGTTAAACTTGTTTTTCGTCCAAATAGAAATTCATTTCAATTATCTTCATATTTCAAACATTTAAAGAATACTCGTTGTTCTATGATAAAAAAAAGAAACAATTATCAATTGAAGATTTAAAAAAAAAGAATAATTCACTAGATGATTTGTTGGGAAACGATGATTTCCATGATAAGAACGATGGTAATGATTATGGCGAAGAAAGGTTGAATGATGACAATGATAGTTCTCGAATTATCACTAACACCTCAATCTCATGCAACCATTCTCATAGCAAAAATGACCACTATCATCATACTCATCAACGAACATTACGAAAAAAAAACATCATAGAGTATAACTAAATAGAAAACTTGAATACCATTGTTTTTATATATTTAGCTTTTATTATATAGCATTTCTATAGATTCAAAAAATTTTATTTTGAGTGTGTGATGCACATTAGCTTTTGCTGTTTTCTTACTTTTATGTGTAATTAAATTATCCTAAATACAGATGGAATTATATTTTTTGAAACAGTTATTTATCTTGAACGATTTAATTAGACCCAAGACCACTTTCTAAGTATTAAATAAATGTTGTAGATAGCTTTTCAAAATCTGGTAGCTATGGGTAGTGGGTGTGGGTGTGGGTGGGGGTGGGTGTGGGCGTGGGGTGTGGGTGTGGGTGTGTGGGTGTGGGTGTGGGTGTGGGTGGGTGTGGGTGTGGGAGGGTGTGGATGTTCGTGGGCGTGGATGGGGGGGTCGGTCTAGACGTGACCCCGCGCCAGCGTCTCCANCGTAAAGTAACGACAGAAGCTACCGTAAATCTATTCTCACCATTTGACAGAGCACATTGAATTCTACTGGGAACACAAATCAGAACATCTGCAACGCTTCCTAAGCAAATATGGGCAAGCATTACTCGAATCTTGTGCTAACTTCATCTTCATGAATTTCTGCTGAGAATCCGGTACAACTCTGTGATTGAGGTAGCTGCATCTCTTCAATGATGTTCTACGCAAAGGTTAGTAAAAAAAATGTATTATTTGTAAAGAAAAAAACTATAGACATTCACGAGGAAAAAGACTAAAAGTATGAATGAAACAAGAAACCTAACTGTAGATTATAAAAAGAAAAGAGTGCTGCCCAGTCTAATAAAATTGATCAATAAACGCATTTATATGCGTGAAAATGTGCGCTTTTACGTTTTCAGAAAAAATAGTTGTTTGAAAAAGAAAGTGAGTCTGACGACGAAGATGCCCACCAAGTTGCCTGTTAAAGAAATAAAACTTGTTTTTCTTGTTATTATTTTTCCAGCGTAAAAACGCTCTATTTAAAATTAATCTGACTGGCACAGAATAAAACTAAAGACTGTTATTTTAGGATTTAATTTTTTCCTCATAGTCTCTGCTTTTTATTTTTTCTCGCCATTCAAAGGACTATTTTATTTTCAGCTCTGAAAAAACAGAATTGTAGAAATGATCGTAAACAACGATACGAATCATGGTTATAGTGTTGAGGACCGTTCCGATGTATGAGTTTTTTTTTTTGAGTAAAATTAGATACATATGAAACTCAAAGTCTGTCTTCTAATATTAAATATCTTATATCTGTAGAAAAATCGGAGAAATGAGCATTAATACGTCTCTTACCTATCGTTTTGACGAAAGCGACTTACTCGACATCTTGGTCACTTCTAAAACGAATCATATGAACCTGATTGATCGTCTATTGGGCTGTGCCTACGGACAGGCGCTAGGTGACGCTTATGGTCTATCGACTGAGTTTCAGAAGCATTGCGAAGTGGCAAGTACTTATCCAGATGCAACACAACTGATTCCATTTCCGAACTATGTTCAAACTCAACATTCTGCTCGATGGATACGTGGTGATTGGACGGATGATACAGATCAGTGGTTGTTACTCATGGAAACCTTGAGTGAACACGATGGTGATGTGAAAATCTTTGTGAGAAAATTGAATATGTGGATTCGACATGGGTTTCCTGAATTCGACGATTTCGGAGGTTTAGGATTGGGTGTCAATGTAGCTAAGGTAAACTCATTTTTCTTTGCTAGAAAAACAAAGTGAAATATCACTGTCGTTTCATGTTAATTTCAAATTTGAGTTAAATTATGAAGATCTCTATAGAAAAAAAAATATTTGTCGATGCTACGATTCTTCATTAATTAACAGGTTGTTCAAACACACAACTTCTATGAAAATCCAATCGAGGTCAGTCGCAAGGCTTGGGAGAGCACTGAAAGACAAGCAGCACCGAATGGTGGTGTTATGAGATGTTCTGCATCCGCTGTTGTCCACTACAATAACATAGACAAGGTAAACTTAGATCGTAGTCATTAAGTTCTGTAAATTTTGACGATTGAATGAAGATGTATATTCACCATAAACAAATTCAAAATGTTATACTATGCAAAGATCAGCTGAGATATTTCTTAATTTTTTTTCATCGGTTATTTTCAGGTGAAATCAACGGCTATTCAAATGTGTCAAACTACTCATTTCGACCCACGATGTGTCGCATCGTGTGTAGCAGTATGTCTCGCCATTGCTTACATCATTCGATCGCCTGACGGTGATGTGGAATCACTCATCGGTCGTGTTCAACAAGAAACATTGACCACAGTAGGCGATGATCTTTTACCAATCTATCGAGAAGAATTCCTGTGGTATACCAGTTAAGACCGAACCTTAGATGATCTTCGTCTTGACGATGAAAAAGTCATCGGTTACACGTTTAAATGTTTAGCCGCAGGTTTCTATGGTTTAAGATCTACACGCTCATTTCAAGAGACACTGAACGATTTGATTCGACAGGGAGGCGATGCCGATACCAATGGAGCTGTATGTGGGGCTATGTATGGTGCAAGACATGGCTACAAAGCGTTGCCTTCTGAATGGCTCAGAGCAATGCCCTATAAAAAATGGTTCGATAAGAAAATCCTCGCGTTGCTCAAGCATCAGAATTTAACGTAAAGAATGTGATTGTATTTTATGCGTTCTCAAATTATTGGCGAACTCATTCTTATGCCATTCGAGATAACTATATTTCTCTCCATCTTTCACATTTCGAGATGATCAATAATCTTAGAGTGATTCATATAACAATCATAATAATAAAAGTTTTCACAATATTCTGCTCAGACTTAAAATGTGAAACACGATGGAACCACTTAAACCATGGCGGAGAAGCTTAACTACTACTATCATTGTTTTTGGAGGCCAATGTGCAGCATATGAAAAACTCTTCTGAACCGTCACAGACATATTGAGAACCCCTAATGTTCATCCCCACTTGTGATGCGTAAAAGCCCATAATACAATAGTAAATAACCATAATATCAAAATTCAAAAACCAATATTACCATTTCATGCATCTACCATGGCTTATAAAGCAGTAGGGAGTTCATTTTTTTTGCTACATGCTTTAAAGCCCTTAACTAAGGGTGGAGCTTTAGCGTGAATGTAAAATAAAAAATTATAGGATTCTTTTAATCTTTAAACTCAAGTATAAACTTTAAATGTTTTATGATGTAAACCTTAATTACTAGGAACAAGAACAATAGTGCAGTGTCAAATGATTTTTGTTCACAAACAAAAAACTCTGAACGCAGTTCCTACGAGGCTCGAATGTGAAACAAGATGGGTTCGTTCAGCTCGTGAACGAAAGCCCTTCCAGTGTCGATCATAGTATGAACCAGACTCAGATAGACTATCATGCTGAAATGACTGTCACGATCTGTGGCTCTAGAAAAGTCTATAGATTCTGTCTGTCTGTCTGTAACATTCTGTTGTGTGAACTGAGAGAAGGAATAGAATATCACTTCTCTCGCAATAAACTTCAACAATCATTCTCCATCGTGTTTCACAAAAGACATTCGAATACATGAACGCATCTCTGATTTGATTGCTAGATATTAATCTAAACCTTTTTAAATTATTTGATCAGAGTCTGCTCTCAATATGTACCGTCTTGCCGATGAACTCAGCTGTCCGATCGACGAGATTGGGAAATCGCTTTTTTTTTAATTGGGACTGGATCTTTCTGTCAATATTGAATCTTCACTTTCCCATAAACTTCGAATCATTTTTCTTTTGAATTCTTAAAACAAAAAAAATAACTATGCAGAATTAATTCGATTGAGAATTATTTCTTAGAAATATGTAACTGATTTGATAGGGCCTCATGTTTAGAAACAACACTAGACACTTTGTGCAAATATCGACTACAACACTCATCGATGTCATCTCCGAAAGTTTGCTTTCGATCCCAAGTCGAATCTAATTTCAACTTCGTTGAAATATTATGTCTTAATTATTGAAGAATTGAATTTTTATTTTATCGTGTCATTTTTGAAAACAAGTTCAAAGTCACCTACTTTATTTTAACTAATATTCTCATAAAGTGCATTAAACATACGCTTTTTGAAAAATACTGTATCCAAAGAAATGATATGTGTTTTAGTAACGGTCATAGTTCGAGCGAAACGTTTGAAAACGCCATCTGTTGTTACTGCTGTCTATGATGTCTAAAACTGACACAGCAATACTTTTTATTTTTGAAAATTTTCGGTGTACGCCTCACAATATTATTTCTCAATGAATAACATTAGAGTGACACCACCAAGATTTTCCGTGTTTAGAGCGACAATCTTCAGATTGTATGTAACTTCGAATGTTTGTACAGTCTTCCCTGCTGATCATTTTAGTAAAAAGAGTGTTGGTTTCAGTATTAGTGTGGTTGTTGACATTCTTTTCACCCACATTCTCACCTATATTCGGCATTGATCCACACGCCCATGTGATAGTCGACTTGTTCAAAATTCGTGAACTTGTTGTTAGCTTTCTGTTTCGCTGTAGAGAATGATCATCGACTCAGTTAATTGTGGATCGTGAACCAACTTTACTAGAACTAGTTACATTGGCCAGAAAGAAAGTCAAATAGAAAAAGCTCAAAAATTCGTCTGCTAAAGCTTTCATGTATAAAGTACCAGTGATTAAATATGCATCTCTGATTTTTATCCAATATAATACGGAGTATGGGTGTGAGTTGGTGTGCAGCTGTGGAAAAAAGATCAACACTCACACACACCCACTCTCAGTGCAGAAATGTTTGTTTTATAAGGAAAGCTAAAATTCAGCTCTGAACGACGTCGATGAGTCAAGCTATGAAGCAAAAACATGAGAGTGATTATTTTCTTGGCAGAATTTGGAGTTATTTACTTTATGGAGAAAAATTTCAGTTCCTCACGTCGTCACCGCCATTGTTATGACGAAGCACTTGTCGCGGTCGCGAAGGAAACGTCGACGCACATCTCTAGACAGAGTGTAGTGCTAGATGGTGAAAGCAAATTTCTGCTGTTTTCATTTTCTGTTGACTCTTCGAAGTTGTGATAAGAATGAATTTATATTTATTTTTCTGGTTTTTTTTCTCGTGGTAAGCATCAATTTCTGCCCTTTCGAGAGTTTGTCTGAATGGNGATTTTTGAGTGGGGGGGGGGGAGGGGGGCTTTATTTGCAGAATAATCTTTACATATTCAACTATTTAAATCAGTTATGGTATAGGCAATATCTCGTACAATCAAATTCCATAATGAATAGTGATTGACATTATTTTTCTCCGTTGAATAAACTATTGCTTAGTGAATGATAGTTTTTTTTTGTGTTGTAATTGAATATGATTGTTGATGAACGTGTTGAAATTATCGGTTTTTGTATCGTTATAGCAATTGACACTTTACATGAGTACAAAGACGATGATGTTAAATTTCTCTTCCATGACATTGTATCGTTCCATTCAAGTAATCAATAAAAGAAATCAGATACTTTTTCTATTCAATTTGTTAAAGAAAACAATGCATATTTTCCACATTGATGATTTATTCGAATAATGTTAAATGAATACAATCATCTATTCACTTAATAATTACATCCATAGTTAAATTATCAATTAATTGAAAGTAAGTTTTGAGTAGATAATGTGCAAAAGAACATTCAATATAGTTTTAATGAATCGAAAGAATGACTTCTAAAATAAATAAATTTTACTGTATGTTGTCATGTACCATTGGCAAAGTCAATTGAGTCCAAATAGTCGGAAGTAATATTTCAGCTGTTCTAACATGATTTTCAGTTGATTCATTCAATGGTATTAGAATAATATGTTTGTGCCAATCGGCCTGAGAATCTCTTGATTGATAATCAAGTACTACTTCTCGAAAGATTCGAGCCTGTTCCACTGGATCGAAACATCCAAAATTGAAATGTGAAAGAATAGATTGATATCGATTTTGTAGACCACGGAGAGCAGCTGGTAGTTCCATAGGAAAATAGATAGTCTAACGAGAACAAAAATACAAAACGCTTATTCCTCAACATTGAAACATCTATTTTACTTTGCCATCGACTAAACGTGTCAATTGATAAATCACTAAAGAAGTATATGAACGTTGAAAGACACCACCGACAGTTATCGTCAATGGTAAATGAGAGAAATTCGTATTGCTATTATGAGAAAAATAAATTAATACAATTTCATTATAGTTTTCAATATACATACATCGGTTTCCATTCGATCAATTTAAATCCAATAATTCGTTGTTCTTCCTCTGATAATTTAAGAATATTAGAAATCAATTGTGTGGAATATTCGATTGTCCATGGAAGAATAAAAACCCATTTTCGAATGAAAATCATTGTGTCCTGTTGCCCATTGGTATTATGTTCCTTATTCAATTCGATTTCGATAAAATTCAATCGATATTGATGATCTGAAAAAGAAATTCAAATTGAATACTATTGAACAACTCAAATCATTTTCATGAATCATCATACCATTTGTTGAAGTAATCATTTTGGCATAATTAAAATAAAATGCTGCAGTACAACCTAATCCAACACTTGTACATTGCTAGATTAAAAAAAAGGAATAAATTCTAAAGTAATTGTTGATGAATGAAAAAAACAAATATCTACTGGAGACAATTCTTGATCAAATTCAATTCGATTTTCAAATAAATTAGTGTAATCTTTCGAGAGTACATTCATCTTATTGAGATAATTAATTACTTCATGAATTTCATTCTTATTCCATTGTGGTGTTCGACGATGAAGATCTACTGTTAGATATGGTATTGAACGAATGAATTGACATGGAAAATGTTCAATAGCTTCATTAACAAGAATAAAAACATCACGCATAGTATCACGCTAAAATCAAAATAATAATATTCATGTTTTGATTTGTATTGCAAATCAAAACGATTATTTTACTTGTATGATATTATGTTGTGCAATACGCATCATTTGACGATTGTCTTCATCATTTTGTTGACCCGTACAAATGAAAATACTCTGTTCAATCTCCCAATGATTGTTGGCCGAATCAACGACATAACCTTGTTGTCTTAATTTCTCTTTTAAATCTCTACAAAAAAAAATAAACATTTTGAAATTCTTTTAATAACACACTAATAAATTTTGCAAGATCTACGTGATGAAAGTTCTAATCGATTGATCTTCTTGTGCTCTTTCAGTAAAAAACAAGGCTATACGTTTACTCTGTTCATTCGGAATTATTTTTGTATTGACCTAAAAGAGTAATAAAATAAAAACGAAATTCTGGTATTAATAAAAACAATTTTTCTCTTACATCGAGAGCTGCTACAGTCGTCGGTGATGGCTGATAGTATTCATCGATATCTTCCTTAATTTGTAACCAAAATGGTTTAATATCGGCATCTAAAAAAATTATTTTTCTCGACTTCAACAAAAAAAAAACAATACAACCTATGGCGTTTGATGTATAGTCATTCGATTGTTCTCTAGATCGATATTGTTCATCATCGAATTGAATCAATCGAATCGATTCAGGCCATGGATCGAGATCGATCAATCGTTGAAGCATATTACAAAAACGCATATATTCATCGCGTTTTTGTGCTCGATTAATTTGACCTATTTGATAAATTTGATCAAGAATTGACATAATATGTGGATATTCTGCACAGAAGATATACTAAACGATGATATAAAAATTTATCTTATTTGTTATTGTCAATCGAAATGTTTTTTACTCGAATGATTTCTTGATTCTCATCTAGCACATCTATATAGTAATATGTTCGACGTAAACATCGGTTGTAATGTTTCATACCAGGTGATCGAAGGACTTTACTAAGATCGAAAGAAAAATGAAATGAACGAACAAGAAAAAATTTGATTACGTTACTTATGAGCATAAGCCAAACGAATTCGATCGGGTTCGATTGGATCTCGAATTGTACCTTCTAAGAAAATTCCTTGACTTTCCTGACAACCATCAGTATCGGGTCGTCCACAATCACATGAAGATTTTGCAAGTAAGTAGTAGATCGGTGCACTGCGAATTTCTTTAATTGGCTGTTGGTTAATATTCCAATGATTAGTTTGATCAGTCATATATTGGTCATATGAATCTTTGCTGGTTTTCTTCATTGTACTTACGCCTAAAATCAATACGATGAAATTGAAATTTCAAGCGAAAAACATTACTTGCCTCCACATCGATCCAATATTGTTGGTGCATCAATCATAGAAAAGACGAAACATTTTCTAGTCGGTCTCATTCGAATACGAAAAGTAGCCAATGGTAATTCATTGAATTCGTCATTATCATTTGACGAGCACGATTCATATTCAATATTCCATTTTCGTACATCATCTCTAAGTCGAATTGACATGAGCGTATCGAGATTCAAATTTTCTTGCCAAATATAAACTTTTTGTACTGTATGACCAAAATCACTTATACCACGAGCGCAAAATGTTACATGTGTTCGCGAATTTTCAATAATCTTATAACTGTCCGCATCCAAACTCAATTGAACAGGATTTGACTGCATTGGAACAAGATGATTGGCCGCCACAGTGGATGGACTCTTGTGGAAAAAGATACTTTCTATCAATGTATGTAAGACAATAAGAACTGTTTGTGGAAGATTTTCTTTTGGAATGATAGCATTAAAAGTGAAATCAAGAAAGAGACTATTTGCTAAAAATTCAAAATCATCAAATTAAATTTTAAAAGATTTATTTTCTACTTACTAGAACCAACTTGACAATTGAGATAAGAATAATAATAATTGAATACTAGACCACTACTAATACTGTTAACATGTAGAAGTAGAGGATAGAAAGGTAATGATGAATTTTGAGAACTTATCAATCGTTCGATGAATGTGCCAAAGTTCCATTCGAATTTTACAGAATTATTCTGTGTAATTTCACTCGATTGATGACCATGAAAATCATAGATAGTCATCTTATTGAGTTCTTCAACAGATGTATTATATAAACGAAATAGAAAACTTTCAAAATATCGACGTCTTAATCGAATTTCTTGTTCTCGTAAGAGATCATTATCTAAACAGATGAATATCATTGGAAGTCCATCCTAAAATAATGATATTTCATCATTTCAAAAAGAATATTAATCAAGAAACTAACACTTCCAGGAAAATTTTCATTGAATTGAATAACATCATCGATAATATCACTCCAAATAATTTCCAAAATGTAAGTAAATTCTACAAGAATAGATGATCGATTGTTTGCAAATGAAAATTGTATTACTCACGTTGATTTCGTTCTCGCCAATGTGTAGCATTGGTTAATATCATTTTAGTTAATTGATCACGAAAATTTCTAAATAAATTGATTAAAAAAAATAGATCTTATCGAACAACAATCGATACAACCTGCATTGAGCTTTAATAAGATTTGATGCTCGTGAATGAATCAATGGAAAATCAATCAAACGAATATTTACATTATTTCCGATAATATTAGACAAACCATAGGTGATTATATCAACTCTAGACATCATTCTCAATCTACAAAGAAACTTTACACAAGACTAAAAAAAACGTCTAATTTTAGAAATTGCTTTTTTAATTTTTTCTTAAGTATATATTTATTGACAAAACGTGATTCTCATAGTGGTAGAGAAAGGAAAAACCAAGTTTCTATGGTTCGTTTTTTTTTCTTTTCTTTCAAGATAAAAGTGCTTATAATTGGCATTCATTCATGCTGAGTATTACTAAAGAAACAATTCTTATCAATAGAACATATTTACTTTGATTCTATTTCAATAGTTTTCCAACTGATAATGATTATCTTATCAAATTACACTCAATATCCTTAATTGATATTTCTTTTATTTTTTCGAATAATACAGACATATGTTCAAGAATTTCACAAAAAAAAGTATTATACAACTGATGACTTTTTTCAATTCACAATTTACATGTTTTGAATTCATATATAACGGAAAATTGAGGACTATTTGCATATCGTATGATTTATATGAGACAAGTTTAGTAGTGAATATAAGTTTACCTTAATAGTAACTACGATACTCTTGAAAGGATGACCTCTCAAAGAAAGCAACAGTATGCAAATTTTTTTCTACCGTCAACGAGACAGAAAGAAGAAGAAAAAAAACAATGCTACCCAGTCAAACATAATTTAAAAAAACATGCATGTAAATGCGCGATAATGGGCCCGTGCCCATGCATGTGTTACTATAATCTTGCATGCGTGTGAATGCGTCACTGGGTGAACTATATTCGCGTGTGCACGCAAAACTTTGGAATGATTACACGCGAGTTTCCGCCTGTATAACTTTTGCCGCATCACGCATGTTCAGCAAAAAATATTTAAAAATTGAATGACATCATGTATACGATGAGCTGCCATTTACACGCATGTTTTTTTAAATTATGTTTGACTGGGTAGCATTGTTTTTTTTCTTCTTCTTTCTGTCTCGTTNAAATGGATAGGTGTTAACAATAATTATAATAAGATATATTTTTGTTAATCATTTCGATTTATTATCATCAAATATAAAAATGTTAACAATTTGTGAAATATTTACTCGATGACATTGAATAGAATGCTGTTTATACATGTCTGTTTATTCGACATGAGTATAATAATGTGTGTTTTTATTTTAGTCTCTTCTTTGTTTCTATAAGCATATAGTTCTATTCTCGTCATGCATTAATCTTTTTTAGAGCCAACGATAGAGATAGAAAGAAATCTATTTACTATATCGTGTCTTTCTCATCCATCTAAAAGATAGAATAGAATGATACTTGAAAACATCGTCTATCGAGTCCATCATCATTAGTTTTATTGTTAAGATTGACTATATTCTGTTTTTTCTCTATTTCTATTAGTGATAGAAAATCTTTTTCGTTCGAGGAAAAAAAAAACTACTAACACTGAAAATGTCATTTTTTTCCATAAACGACAAACATTTTCTTGATGTTCTCGATCGTTTATCATGTCATTCTATCTTTATTTTTGACATGTATTAATTGTAAGATATTTTCGTATTACTTAAGAAGATGATTATTTCAGATACAAGATTTCTATATTCATATGGATGATCGACGATGGACGAATACTCATCGTCCGTCTGCTGTAAGTTATTAGTAATTTCTTATAAATCAAAGACAATAAAAGAAAACCTAATAATAACGATAAGGTCAATATTTTACTCTAATTAAAATCATCTTAATAGAATATTTAAGAACATATTCAATATAGTTTTTTATTTTATTCATTATAAGAATAAAAATATCTACAAATAGTGATAAATATCATTAAAATAATACTTATATTTATTAGAAACATATGTTCTTTTTCTCATAAGAAAATGAGAGAAATTTTTGTTAAATAGATTGATATTTATGTTTTGTACTAAGATTAGTATCAAATATCGCTTCATTTCATAGATTATAATGATAAAAAATAAATATATAAGTTATATAATCTTCATTATCTGATTAGTTATAGATTGCTTGAAGCTGTTTTTTTCTACTTAACAAAATGAACATCATTAATAATAAACTGCATCATCTTCTTGTCCTTCCAACATGCGAAAATAATCAAATGATATTATTTCATAAGCATCTTATCATATTTCTGATTAAGAAAAACGTGTTTTATATAAGATAGTTTGACATGAAAGTCAAAAGAAGAAGAAGAAGAATTGAATTCTTATACCCTCAACAATAGAGAAGACATCGTATAATAAAATTTATTAACATTAGATTATGTCTAGTTTTTAGAGTATGAAAAGTCAATATGATATTTTTCCTTTTTGGAAGTCTCGAAAATCTCTTGATAAATTCTGAAAATTGTTTCAGTTTAATGAAAAATTTTCTATTTATTAAAATTACGGAAATATTTCGATCACAATAGAAGATTCTCTTTAAAACTTTGTATAGTTGAACATCGATATCGTCTATAGGAAGGAGAAATTTTTTAGTTATATCAATGGTTCATAAAGGAGAAATCCGTTAAAGAAATCTAAAAGACGGAAGTGGCATCGATTTAATTTAATTACTATTTACTAATTTAATAGTCCTACTAATTTTAATCGTTTAACATATTCGGAATAAAATCTCAATGATCAACATAATTCAACTGATATGTTATTCAATGAAATCGTTTCGATAACATCTAAACATAGTTTTTATTTATTTATTAAAAATATTTTGAATAATCTTTTGTTTTATATTTAGGCAGTGAATATGATTTTTCTGTAACAGATAATTTAAAATGTTATAGACCTTGCAGTCTTGATGAATTAGTAACATTAACAAATTTTAATAAAAAAGAAATTCAAGTTATTTATCAAGGTTTTAAACAAGAATGTCCATCTGGTATGTATAGAAATAAACAAAGAAAAGATTATATGTAATTTTTTTTTTATAATTTGAAAATAAAATATTTTAAGGTATTGTTAATGAAGAAACATTTAAAAATATATTTGGACATTTTTTTCCATGTGGTGATACACAACAATATGCTCATTTAATATTTTCAACATTTGATTTACGTTCATCAGGTATTGTAACATTTGAAGATTTTCTTATTGGGTTATCAACATTATGTCGTGGAACAGTTGAAGATAGACTTAAATGGATATTTAAATTATATGATAATAAAAAAACAGGAAGATTAACAAAAGATGTAAGTTTTTTACATTTGAATTCTTAGAAAAAATAAAACATTGAAAATCAGCATAATAACATTTTTTTAATAATACGAAAAATTAAATATTATATGAGTGCATTTTGATTTATAGATTTTATTTTAAATAATTTATAAATATATAAAAGAAATTTAGATTTTCAAATGTATATTTATGAGAGAAGAGATCGAATAGATCTTATCTTCAAATTCAATATTCTTTTTTTGTTTGTTTAATAAAAAAATTAAATTATTACTTTTTTTTTTGAAAGGATCTTCATGTGATTGTTTGTGCTGTTCATTCTCTACTTGGTAATGCATCAAATCGCCATCATGATTATACAATTACTCAAGAACATACAACAATTGTCTTTCAAAAATTTGACCAAAAAAATCAAGGATATATTACTATAGAAGATTTTGTATCAATTTGTTTGCAAGTAAGAAATTTAAATTTAAAATAAAAATTTCTTTTAAATATATTTTTAGGATCCAATGATTGTTCAATCAATTGAAGCTTTACGTGTAACTGTGTGATGATTGTATTCATTCCTTTATTGATGTCTACTTCTGTTTTTCTGTATATTAATTATTAAAAGGAATAATCTAATCATATATATTATATCGAAGTTATTATTTTTTTTTGTTTGTTTGTTTTATGTTTAAATGATAAGATAAAATTAGAATGGATTAGTTTGTAAAACTACTTGGGAAAAATTAAATGAACATATCAAGAAAAATAAAAAACAAGAGAAATCTTAAATAAACTGATTTCGATCATGAATTTGATATGATATCAATGGATTATATATTAAATATACTAAAAATTTATCAATTCTTCTTGTTTCTAATATATTCCCTGACGAGGAAAGGTTCCCAACTGATCAATCGCTTTTGTGTTGAGGCTATATGCATTATGTAGGTACAAAAGAGTTATGAATACCCTGAAAAAAGTCCGGGCTGCTAGCTTATTGCTACGGAGATACTGCACTTTTACGGTATGTTTTTAAATGAAAGCTGTGGTCCCCCTCAGGAACACCGAAAAAAATGATTTTCGAATTTCGACTTGAAATTTTATATATAAACAGACCTTACCGAGGATAGTATTTTGTGAAACTTTCAGGTCTTTCTATTTGTTCTTATCCTGAAATGACAACACCAAATCTTTTGGTTTATCTGAAAGACATTATCATAGTTGTATCTACCGATAACAACAGCAAAAAGATCTGAAACTTTTACAAAATATTATTCTCGGTAAGATCTGTTTATATGTAAAGCTTCAAGTCGAAATTCGAAAATTATTTTTTCTGGTGTTCCTGAGGGGACCACAGCATTCATTTAAAAACATATCGTAAAAGTGCCGTATCTCCGTAGCAATAAGCTAACAGACTGAACTTTTTTCAGAGTATTCATAACTCTTCTGCACCTACATAATGCGCATAGTCTCAACGCAAAAGCCATTGATCAGTTGGGGACCTTTCCTCGTGAATTAAACATGCAAAAAAAAATTACATATAATAATGATCATCATATAAAATTACTATATTTTCTTTTGTCTTTTATCAAACTCAACAATCATTAAAGTAAAAAAAATCATAGAATAATAAATCAATTTCTCAATGCTTCTAAACGTTTTTCCATTTCTTCTTCTTCATTATCAACATCAACTGTGTCAATTATTGTTGGATTAACAGGAACACTTGGATATTTATTGACTTTATCTAAAATAAAAGAATAAATTGTAACATAAAACAAAAATTTATTTATTGTGTTATCTTACTCAAAAGAATTTCATTTAATACTTTATCTATTTCTTCATCAGTTTCTTCTTCGAGATCATCATTATCAAAAGCAGCATCAATAGTTTCCTTTGTCATTTCACTTATAATACCCATCTAAACGAAATCTTTTTCATATGATATTTAAAAAGAAACAACAACAACATTTATTACTTTAACCAATTCTTTTGAAAATTGTTCCGATATTGATTGAAATTGTTCAAGTTTCATTAATTCTGACATTGAACGTGCTACTTCAGCACTTGTTTGCATTATACCACTTAATTTTACATTTGCTAAATGATTTAATATTATTTATTATTAATGTTAAATTCAAAGATCTATTACTTAATTGATTTTTAACAGCATTATCAATTATATCAAGATTAGCTTTTGCTGAATATAAATTACTTTTGTTATGTTTTATTCTTAATAGAAGATTATTTTTATAATTTTTATTTTTGTAAAAATCGATTTTATTTACTTAACAACTCCTTTTGCTAATACACGAAGAGCATCTTTATTATTGCTTAAAGCATGTTTACGAATATCAGCTGACAGACGCTGAATTTCACGATCAGATTCTTTAAAAGAAAATTATTTTAATATCATAGAAATAAAGAAAAATTACGAGTAATTTGTCGATCTAATTGTCGTTTTTCCTGTCGAATTTGTGCACTAAAACCTCGTGTCTTAAAAATAGGAAAATAAATAAATATGAATGAAATAAAATCAATATTTTAATTAAAACCTGTTCTTTAGCTTTTTCATAGGGAGATCTTTTATCTCCACCGAATAAGAAACTCATGATGATTAAATGATATCAGTTTTATTTGGTTAAATATAAAAACCAATGAATGTTTATAGAATGACGTTGATTGTATCGCTTTGTTTGCTAATCTTATCTTTTGATAGTCTGTTTTTTTTTACTTTGTTATTTCATTTTTATTTCATCATTTTCTTTAAAATGTTTAAATAATGTTGACTAATATTTAATGATTAATAATTTTTTCTCTTTTATTCTTTGTTCTTCTTTAAGATATTAAAGGGAATTTTCAATGAATAGATCGTAATGAATTTATTATTGGAATATTTATTTCAATTTTTAGTTTTTTTTTGTCTTTGTTCGATATTATTCTAAATAACGAAATGATTTTTAATTTATTTTTAAAATGAAAATTAATTTAATATGAATAAAATTTTTTTCTTATAGGAAGTACACAGTGGCTCTCAAGATTTTACGATTAAAACCAAATTTTTAAACTTCTAGAGATTCTGTTTTGAATTACTTAGAATAATAGAACAAATAATTTTCTACAAATTTAAACATCCCTCGGCTATCTAAGAAGTTTTTATTTCACCGAGATAGATAAATCTTATGAAAAATCATTCTTTTTGATACATCTCATAGTTAAAAAACGTCGCAAAGAACTAACAGACGTTTCATTTAGGATGACTCAAAACAGAGTTGAAGAAGATTTGTTAAAAATAAAACTCTTTACTTAAATCAATAGGCGAACTCGTATTCACGTTTATCATGGTCAGAAAAAATTGTGAATAATTCTAATCGAATTATTTTTATTATTACTGTATATCCATGAAAAATATCTGTAATTTTATTGTTTTTTTAATAATGAAGATCATTTACTTTGTAAAATGACATAGAGTAAAAGAAAAAACATCTATTCTTCATGTTTTCCCTCAGACATAAAATTCCTTAAAACATGATTATAGATTAAAACTAAAGTAATAGAATTACACTTTTGCTTTCATTGAGTAACGAACTTTTCTTCAACTTCTATAGAACATATAGGTAATATAGTGTGCGCTTGTCTGATATTTAGCTGAAACCAAACGTATACAGTAAATTACATATCACACAAAATTGTAGAAATTTTCAGTCTTGATTAAATTAAGAATAATTTGTAGACTCGAATTTAAATTTTTATTTTATAGCGATTGATCAAGATAATCTTTCATAACCTAAAGAAAATATATGAAAAAAATTCATTGAATAAATATTTCAATTCGCATGTTTTTTGATACCTTTCATTTCAATAAGTAACACTGATATCTCGAAAATAAATTAATCGATAAATTAATATCATTCTTAGAGTAAAAAAAAAGAAGATTGTACAGTACAATGTCAATCGATGAGTTAGATTCTACTATCGGCAGTACATTAGTAACACGAGTAAAAGATAATCAAAATGTACCAATTCGTTCTTTATATTCAATTCAACCAATTGTTTTAATATTTTTTCGTCGTTTTGGTTGTCAATTATGTCGTTCTTATGCATTAAAATTAAGTAATGAATTACATTCAATATTAAAAAAAAATAATATAGGATTAATTGGTATTGGTCTTGAAAGATTTGGTGTAGAAGAATTTCAAGGAGGAAATTTTTTTTCTGGTGATCTTTATATTGATGAAGGAAAAAAAGCCTATCAAATTTTAGGTTTACCTTATTTAGGTTGGATTAAAGGTATAACAACATTATTTTCAAGATCTACAAAATTATGGAATGATGAAACAAAAAAAATGGGTATTCAAGGTAATTTAAAAGGCGATGGATTTCAATTAGGTGCTACATATGTTGTTAGTTCAAAAGATGGAAAAGTTTGGTTAGCTCATCCTCAAAAAGATTAGTATGTGTACAAAAAATAGATTTTCATTGAATATATTAATACTTTTCTTTTTTAGTGGTGATCATCCATCAATTGATTCAATTGTTAAGGCTCTTCGAGATAATATACCTGAATTTCGAGAATAAGACGATTTATTTATTTAATGTAAAAATATGATTATTATATATTCTATCTTAGAATTATTGGAAGAAAATAAAAGCTTTTTTTTTAAATAAAGAGTTAAATATTAATTTGTTCATCATTAATTAAAGCAACTAGAAAATGTCTATGAATGAATATATATTTTCTATGAATTTTTTTTTTGTATGAAAATCAATATTCCAGTATAATTATTTGTTATATATAATTACATTTCATATCAATAAGATATATTCATTATGTAATAATAGATTCTAGTATTTAGATTAGAAGAGAAGAATATGTCTTCTCTTTTTTCTATCTCTTCTATTCAAAAGAAATATAATAATGACACATCATATTGTCTTTATTGAAATGAGATCATTGACTTTCATTATTCTGTATGTCTTGAGAATTAACACAACTGTAAATATAAATACAACATGAATCAGTAAATATAGGTTCAACTCATGTAGCAGCTAATTAATGAAAAATAATTAGAAATAATAAACCTTATTCTGCATAAATAATGAATATAATTACATAATAAAACAATTTTTATGCGTTATATGTTCAATAATATCCTATAATCCATGAGTTTTTCAATGCATTATAGATCACTGAACAATTATTTAATTACAATATATTACTTTCTTTTTTTCATCATAAAAATGCATTAAGATTCATGAAAGTTGTTATGCATTTCATTGCATAAAAACAAATAATACATTCTAATGGATGGTGATCATATAATTGATCAAGGACTAATAATGCATGAAAATTCATGAAATAGCTTACATTATCATGTAATTATATTCATTATTAATGCATGATAATATTTATTATTTCTTATAATCGTTTGCATAGAGGAAAGAGAATACTAGTTTTCTTTTTCCGACAAAAAACAAAACATCATTATGTGTAATCTTGAAAAAATAAATCCGAGCCAAAAAAAATCGCTCATAGAACTTATTTTCAAGTATATCTAAGACACTATTTAAGTCGCAATATAATATAACAGCAAAATATTTCTAAATGATCAATATTAGTAAAGAATGTGTACTCTCCAAATTTATAGACATTATACCAAATGGTTCATCAACACTTTTAACTTGGTTAAAATCACGTGAGTCTCTTCAAATATCTTGCTAGCAAAATAAGATTAAAAAAAATTGATTTCAATCATCTCAGAACATTAATTAAAGGTAAACAAAGGTGACTTTTGTTGGAATCAGCATCAACTATCTTTCATGTAGATTAAATAGAAAACCTTCTATCTATAATTAGAACAGTCATATAATTCTTCCAATTATTTAAATTCAAGCTGTTCTATTTCATACTTGTGATAAATCATTTAAAGATAAGTAGAGATTTTATTACAGAGATACATGAAATCGTATACGAGATAAAACAGAAAATATCTTTGTCTGTTAAATTAGTCTTAAATAAAGCATATGTCAACAATAAACAGAAAAGAATATTTGATTATAAACCGAATATCCAAAAGCTCATATATGCGTTGTCATCGAGATATTTGTTAACCTCCTGAATATCGATAATTCTTGTGTTCTCTGTAATTTGATAGAAAAATCGAAAAATCACACCCTCATGCGTTTTATAGTCTTGCCTCAGCTGTATTCTTGCATATTTTATCGTATATAAAAAACGTTGACCGATATAGCCGTGTGAATGAATATTTTATTTCACAGTTATTTATCCATTGGATAAAATGAAAAAAAATTTCTTGCGTTCTGCTTCATCTTCAGCCTGAAGACAGTGGTATCCAAAAGGTTAAGCAAACAATCCGAGTTCATTTTACGTAATAAGTTGATTGTTCTGGATGACATGCTTGTGTAGTTAATAATTCTAGTTATATCATGGAATAATTTTAATTCTTTACGAAATAAATATCTCAATGAAATGAAAAATCATTTATCTCGTACATAAAGTCGAATACTAAAAATTTAATATCATAAACATCAAATTTGAAACCAATGAAATAATAACAAAGAATTTTATTTTCCAAACATTCATTCTCTATTTGAAACTACTTTTTTCTTGCTAAATCCAATCGTCATTTCAAGATTCCATCTGTCTCTATCATAGTATTCACATTTTTCTCTTAGATCGTTGGAGTCATTTAACTTGTTACTACATATATATAGTCTACCAAACTGACAAAGTTATACAATAGTGACATCTATTGACTGTACAATGTCACATGGCTAATAATGTGACTTTTAAGTCCATTTATAAAAAAGAATGCCTCTTCATTTCTTTTTTTAGGGTATATGAAAACATTTATTTAGTAAAGTGAATGTCTCTCTTGTGTTCTGATTTATTATTCACAAAAAAAAAGCAGAAGAATTGTTTCTTAAGACAAAAAAACAGAAATATGAAGAAGAACTAAGTCTATGATTCATCGAAATGAATAATTGATTTTCATCATTAGGCCGTTTTATTACTCCAAATAAGCCAAAGAGCATGAATACAGCCAGGAAGAAATCCAAGAATAGTAAGAAGACTAGAAGAAAATAATTCGAATTTTTGAAGTTATTTCTAATTAAACAACTTACATATTTAAGAAAAAGTGTGTTGTACAACCAACTTTAATTAAAGCAGCAATTGGCGGTAATAAAATAGCCAAAATTGATAATAAACTAAAAAAAAACAAAAGATAATAATAATAATAAATATAAAATAAAAACAATGTCATTAAAGTGTATATACATGTTGCCAAGACAATCACCCATGTTGAACTTGAATTGTTAATGTAACGAATAGAAAAATGTATTATCTGAAAGAAATCAAACTATGATCATCCTTGTAAAAATCATTAATAAAAGAATACGTTTCGAAGTATGTTGGACCAATGACTATTCTTCTTCTTTTCTGTTTTTTTCCTCTTCTCTATGCTCTTTTCTAACTCGGCACTGTGATCGAACACGTCGCTCCTATATATACCCTCTGTATTATGTTATCTAGTCCTCTAACAGAAAGAATATTTGCTAACAAAGACAAGGTTAGATACTAATATCAGTTTTTACTAGTGCTAAAGTATATTTGATGTATTTATAAACTTATACTGTTATCTTCTTACTGATGGTACATAATAGGTAAACTGATGGGAAGTTGTTTCTTAAAACAAAAGGAAAAGATTGATTGAAATCGACTTTTTATCAACGACAAGAAAATATGACCATGAACAATGAATAGGTAATAGTTACTTCCATTTGAGTAAATGTGAACAAGACATCTGAGAACACAACTCTTTTTTTTCTGTTAACAAAAAAAAAGGTTCATTGAGGTCATTTTATATTGAGGTTACGAGAACGTTTTTTCTTCAACTTAGTTAAAAACGTGACTGCTTTATAAAGATTAAATAGTAAAAGATGGAATAATTTATATCAATGTTATAACAAAAACTAAAAGAAAATTACCAACATTTTGTCTTTGTATCTGCGACAGATGATAGAAGTTTTTTTTTCTCTTCCAAATAATTGCCATTTCAAAACAAAACAGTTTACTTATTTTTTCTTTGATATAGGCATGAATATATATATATATATATGCATCGATTGACTCGTCAAATTAGTACATTAAAATATATAATTACTGAGCCAGAAAAAAAATTACTGGTGTGTACTGCTTAGTTCAAGAGTAAGGCTTAGTCATTGCTCTTACTCATTGAATATGAATATACATGAATACAGTAAAGATTAAATATACTATATGAATCATACTAAACAATTTCTTTTTTATTTCTTATGTCCTTGAATGAGACACAAGGCATTGGCGTTCTTTTGTTATAAACGAATATATGTGAAGTTTTATCTTTTTTGCGTGACTGCCATACTATACTTTGTTATTCGTAAATTCATAGAATTTTTGTTCTTTTTTTTTCTTACACGAATATTTATGTTATTTTCAACTATTGTTCATTGAATAAATATGAGAACGAAAAATGAAATAAATGAACGGAGAAGAAAAGCATGATAAAAAGGACAAACTTTAACAAGAATTTCATTTTCTTCTTCTCTTTGTATAACACCTGTTAGAGAGTACATTTTAATATTTTATTTAATAATGATTAACTGAAAAATTTATTTTCTCTTTTCAGATATAATAAATTCATATATCAATATTCTATAATTGATCATGGCTGATTTTCTCGGTAATCTTCTTTTAACAATTTTAGCTATTCTCTTACCACCAGTTGCTGCTCTTATTAAAGTATATAATTAATATTTTTTTAATTTAAATAAATAAATTTTTATATATTTTTTTAGGTTGGATGTACAACACATTTTTGGATTAATTTATTATTAACTCTTCTCGGATGGTTACCTGGTTGTATTCATGCTTTATGGCTTGTTTGGGCTAATTCTACAAAAGCTTAATTTTGTATATATTAATGAATGAACAAAAGAATTTTTCTGCTTTTTTTTGTCTCTTTATTATTTCATATTAAATCAAGCAAAAATATGTTATTATATATATATAAAAAAAAAAAAAAAAGTCTAATAATATTGATAGGAAGGTGCCGATGGTAGTAAAGCTTGTTGTGGATATTGTTGATAAGACGAAGGTAATTGTTGTTGCTGTACTTGTGATGGTAAAGGACGTGGTCGTTGCATAGATTGTTGTGCTTGTGATCTCCAATGATTTGAAAAATTTTGTTCATTTGAAGGAATTCCACGACGTTTTATATCTTGTCGATATTGTCCACTAGTTGGATCTAATTGACGTTCAACAATTTCACCACGATCACCAACAAAATATCCAACTTGCATTCTATCAACACCACGATCTGTATCACGTAATGCTTTTTTTGTTTGCCAAACTCCACCTGGTCCCATACGACGTTCATCATGAGCTTGAACTACATGTGGACGACCATCTGGTCCACGTGATATTTGTGTAACATTCATTGAACTTAAACCGAATACTTTTACATTCGGATTGTTTGAATCTGAACTCATAAATGTTGAAACACCACCAATATTGGGACCACTACGTAACATTTCAGACATCATTTGATTTGCAAGACCATAAAATGAACCAAACATATTGCCATCATTATTACTGCCTAAAAGTGTATTGTCGAATTGTGGATCGATGAGAGCGTTGTTATTTGGATTATATTGTTGAATTGGATACGACATTTTTACTGTGTGATTAGAAATAACGTACTATCACGTATTTATATACTGTCGTTAGAAAAGAATCTACATGTATGGTGATCATTCAAGAACCATCGAGAATCATTATTAATACATATTGGTTATGCCTGAATAATTTTTCTTTCTTTGTTGATGTATTTTTGTCTGTATCATTTTTTTTCTTTTTGCTGTATTCAATGTTGAAATCAACATGTAATAAGAGAATGACCTTGGAAAAAACTATGTTTAATGCTTTATGTTTTTTTTTTGTGCGTGTGTGTTTTATACATATCAGTCATGAACAAGAATAATTAAAACGTTTAAGAAAAAAATCTCAACTTTCATTCATAGATTGTCTGTGATATTGAAGAAAACTATAAAACATAAAATAAGATAATAACGATCCAACGTTAATCGATGGTATAGCTGTCTTACACTTTTAAATAACTTATAATAGAAGTTGGTAATTGTACGAGTGGTTTTGTTTTTTTCTTTTATTTGTTAACCCTAAAAATGTCCACCATCTGTTTTGCTTTTATTTTATCTCTCATTGTGTAATAAATACTATCGTTCGTATTACTCATGAGAAAATACGTAAGAAAATGAAAAATAACAATCATCAACATGAAACAAATGAAGATAAGATATCAACACGAAAGATATCTACATCAGATGGACAATTATTAACATAAAAACATCAAAATAATTCGATTATGAAAATTTAAATTACTTGCTATCGATAAATTGAAATATCTTCTAGTGAAATTATTTATAAAATACTCATGTTAGCAATTTGTCGCGGAAACATATCAGTATTCAGCTGTAATATTCATGTTAGAATCTAAATATGAGAATCAAGTACTCTTCTATATAGTTTTCTTGTACTCTAATGATTTATATCAAATACTAATAGACCTATATTTTGTGCAGAATTATTGTAATAGATCTATTTTATTTACATGATGAAAATTAAGGAAAAAAAAAGAAAAAGACGCATTAATAATAGTACAACATCAGTGAAAAGAAATGGAATATTAAATTATTATTCATGAAATTTAGAAATACAATGAAAAAATAAATGCATTATTAAAAAAGAAAATAAACAGATATTTGGAACTGACAAGTATATTTTATTCAGTAATGCATTAAAAAAAGAAAAGAAATTAATTATCTATAGTATAATGCGTACATCTGTATAACATTCAACTCTAATCGATCTTTAACAAAATTTATTTATCGTTTTTTGTTTTATTGATTTTTGCGATTTATCTTTCTTAAGAAATGAATACTCTTTTTTTGTTTTTCTAGAAACTGTCGAATCTGTTAAAGTAGTATAAATAACTCATCAAAAAAGAATAAAAGATAAAATAGATAAATCATTAAAATATATTTTCTATTTAATGATACCACTTTTCATTGTTATAGTACATACTAATGTATAACATGTTACAAAAATCGAGTTTATTTAAAAGTTTAATATCTCGACAAAGGGATATTCTTGTCTGCGAAACTTTAAATATATTCTATAAATTATCAGATCCATCCATGGATAGAATTTTACATTGAAATTCTGCTTTTGTTTTTAAATATTTTTTAGCATACAAATAATACAAGACCGACAATTCAGTAAACCGATCATAACTTGAATTTCAAAAACCTACGGCGACGATCTCTTTTAGATTTTTGCTTGTCTAAACAAAATGTTCTTGTAAATGCAATATGAGTTCAAACGATGAGTATTAGTTTGAATGGTTCTTTCGTAAGAGAAACGAACTCTTTTAACACTTCCTACAATATCTAACTAGCAAGACTTTCGATAGCTTGTTCGATTGAAAAAATACCATTTTTGTTTTATTATTTATTGGTAACATAAAATTTGAAAATATTTCCTGTAGCGAACATATTGTTCTTTTCTTTGTATATTATACTTATTCGATATTTTCAAAATTATTATATGCATTATAATATTTCTTATCGTATAAAACACTGAATGTTTAAAAATCATTTTTTCTACGATTATCAATGGTTATATTGGCATATCATATGTTTGAATGGTAAATGAGGATACAGCAAAGAATTAAAAGAATTTACTGGATTTTAATATTACTCTAAACCACAGCTACACCTTCATTATTTTGGTGAAAAACAACAATAATATATTATTATACCTGAATAATGTTACACACAAAAAAATGCGGTTACTTTCTAATTGACAATATAGAGTATTATATAATCCATATGAAAACATGTGGTTCGTTCTTATGATTTTTAGAAGATGTCGCTTTTCGACGACCTCAACTGTTGTATAATAAAACAACTTCAACAAACTTATGTCATCACTCTGTCAAAAGAAAATGTATTCAGATGCAGTATGGCTTACGGTTCGCAAGTTCCACAACAAGCGCATCAAGCAAACATACTCCTGCAATATCCGATACAGCAACCTAATAGCAACATCCGACAAAGAAAAAGCCGATTTATTTGCTGAATATTTCCAAAATGAAGTGTATGTCAAACCACCGGACACACTANATCGTGAAGATGTTACCGAAGATGATATGTTTGAATTGATTAAGACAATTCCACTCGATTTTAAACCAGGTAAACAATTCTCGTATAGTAATCTTGGATATATAATGTTGGGAATATTAATTCGTGAAGTAACTGGTGAATTTTATGGTGATTTTCTTCAAAAGAGTATTTTCGAACCTCTCGGAATGAAAACAGCACGAATAATCAGTGAAAGTGATATCGTTTTAAATCGTGCTTCGGGTTATGCTCTTGTCAATGATAAATTCAAAAATCAAGAATGGGTTTCACCAAGTCTCAACACTTTTGCTGATGGCGCTCTCTATCTTAATATTTATGATATAGTGAAATGGGAGACGGGACTTAATAGCAAAAAAATATTGAAAGATAAGGCAAGTTTTGATCAGATGTGGAGTCCGGTTAGATTAAACGATAATACAACATATCCATATGGTTTTGGCTGGGAATTGGATGAGACAGTCAGTGGAATGCATGTCGTTAAACATGGTGGAACATGGCAAGGCTTTGAATCGTATATAATTCGAGTTTTAGATGTAAAAGTAACAGTTGTTATTTTTGCAAATGTTGATGTTGCAGATGTAGAAGAAATAGCTTCAAATGTACTAGAAATGTTCGATTCACAGCTTGCTCTTAAGTCGGACGAAAATGAATAAAATAAAACTAAGAAAACGTTAAAAGAAATGCATGCAAATCTTCATAATTGTAAGCTGCATTAGCTCGATTGATCTTTACACTGACTGATGAATCATTTGTTAATGCTTGCTGTAAATATGTTAACTAATTAATAATTTCACTTTTCTTCGAATACAAGTTTTGAATTAGTTGCTGTTGATTTACTGAATGTAGAGGTGGTGGATGAGATAATCACTCTAGCTGCCAAATAATATATTTCCCTATTACCACCGAACAAATAAATTCTTGAAGGAGTGATTTAGAGTGCACATACCTAGATCAAGTCCTTCAATTTGCCATTTTAGATCTTGGCACATAGCGGATTTCAATTTCTACAATTGAACGACGATCACGGCTTTCATTGTCATAGAAATATTGCTCGACAGTACTTTCATTTCTTATTGAAGATGAGTTTAATTTCATAATGTTGGTAATATGTTCTATCGACTTCTGCTATACATGTACACATTTCACATGGTCGAGACCGTTTATTTTTGAATATTACAATAATCAAAAAATCTTTTATTTACCAGCTTTTGGGTGGTGAAGAAAAACTTCCACTGCTTATATTGTTAAATTTTCCCATGCTTGCATATAACTGAGCTCATTTCTTTATCAAAAGATTCTCCATTGAATCCTGTATAAGAATAGAATCGACTTTTTTTTGTAAAACTTGACGGTGAAAACGGACACGAGATTTTTCCAAGTACCGAAGCGCATAAAAAATAAACATATTTACTCAAATCGAGTTAAATCTTACAGAATCATTAAAACACAATTTCCGTATGTTTTTATGCAGTTTTTACTATGCCCTTTCTCAGTGTAAAAAGTGAAAATTGTTGACAGCTGCATATCTGACGCAAATATTCACTTTTTTCCACTCACGCGAAAATACAAAATTTTTTATCTCTTTTTGCACAACATAAAAGGAAATCTCTTTCTAATTTTACTGAGATTTGAGCATAATTGTTCATCATTTGTATTCAAAATAAAAAACTTCCTATGTATAAGCCATGTTTGATTTAGTACTATTCGTTTCATTCAAAAACACGAAGTATTCGTGAAAATTGTTTTCATGAGAGGAGAACGGAAGGACTTGCAAAAATAATGGGTGTGGATGTGCACTCTGTCAACACCCAACCCACACCCACACCCATCCGAATGGTATTAAAATAATGCCACGGGCACCATATTAACCAGATCTTGCACCATGTAACTTTTGGCCAATGGATTATATCAAGCACAATTCGACTAATCAAGCAAACGAAGAGTCGCTAACTCAGAAGGTACCCAAGATAGTGAGGAATATTTCAGAAAAAAGAGTTTAAAAAAACTTTCGACAAACTGTTGGAAAGGTTAAAACTTCGTATAAATAATAATGATGGCTATTTTAAGAATTTAATAAAGTAAAAATAAAAATATCTCCTTCTTTTTATATTTTATTTCATGTTATCAGAACTTTTAGTTAGCCCTAAGTAAATAATTCATATGATATTTTGTTCTGGTGTCTTTGAAATCCCTATTTCACTTTTCTCAAACGTCCATTTGAAAATTCTTTTCCCCAATGATGTTTAGAACAGGTTAGTTAAAATAAAATTCTTATGTTAGCGTCAAATGGGTCCACGGCCGCTGTTGCTTGCTACTGTTCTTCATGACTTCGTTTGTATCTCTGACAAACATTTGTTCAATTGGAATGTTCGGTGTCGATGTATGATTCAATAAGACTTTAGTTAAAGCACTATAGCCATTTCTGGTATCATTGGCAAAAGAAACGGCGCCTGGATCACAAGAAAATAATATTATTATTTGAGAATCTGTTTGTAAACGAACACCAGAAATGAAAGAAGATCTTAAATCGTCATCAGAGCGAAAGTTCTTTGTAGCAGCCTTGAATGTAAAATTATCTTCTTCGTATCGACATGCATCGCAAATAATAATAATAAGCAAGTTCTCAGCAGATCGCTCTAATTTCCTGATGATATCGTTCACACTGATGCATTGGTTCTCTATTGATGCGACACTATTGACGGCATCAATTGGAACCAAATAAAGTATATTCTAAATACAGCAAAATTCAATTTTCAACCATTTATCATCTTAAAATGCAATTTTCTTTGTTAGTCATCGATTTATATTTATATAAGAGCTGAAGACAAAAGATGCAGATAGCTTATTATGAAATAAGCTTTCACTTTCGAAGCAGTTAAAAAGCAATAATAAGTTGTGATGTTTGCCTGATAAGAGTATTTTTTAAATGGAAAAATATTTATTGATCTTTCTTTGAGATCACGAGTGTCTTTACGACATCAAGAAGCCTTGATATGCGCTTCCCTAAACTCCCAACAAAATTGATCGTTTCAACAGCATTCTTATTGAATATGAACTTTGCTAGTGCCTTGGAATTCACTTTGAATGCTAATTTTTATTGAGTACAACTCACTGATTCTCATCAACACTACTATATCTCAAAATTTTTCTACTTACATGCTTTTCTTCTCCATGTCCTGAGAAAAAAATCAATACACAATCATTCGATTGGATATTTTGAGCAAATTTTTCCAGTTGATCATTCATCTCCAGTTTTGTAGCATCACATTGTAATGTACATTTGAAACTCAATGATAATAATGCTTCTGACATACCATAAGCATCTTGAACACAACATGATAGATGTGGCAAATACTCATATAAATCATTGCCGAATAGCAATGCTACACGTCTTCTCTGATTACTTATTTTGTCGCCTCGTACAGTTATATTAGTGGTGGATGACAGAGATGAAGAGTTGTTGACTCGTGAACCAGCTGTTCTTTGAGGCTGATGACCAGTGCGCCTTGCAAAATTGCTCGATCTGCTAGTATGATAGAGGCGAAAATCTTGGGCGGAACGAGAAGCTCGGTCACATGCAATCGTTCGCGAATGTGCAGGTGACGACGCAAAATAATCCGAATTTATCTTTCACAAGCGACATTTTTCACAGAGATCTCGGATCACATAGTTTGGACGTAGGTCGACGACACGTAGAGGCTGTCGAGTCAACGGACGAATTCCTTCCTGATTAATCCATTGAACAATTGCTTCTCTTTCGTAAGTATGACCATCATTGGCGACAACGGGATCCCGAAATAGATCAAATGTTATTGGACACCGTAACTCGTCAGGCACTGTGGGTGGTGCAGAGACAACTGAGCGTGCTAAAATTAGGTAAAATCATAATAACCCGTAGTTCAATGGATTATTATCTTTGCTTAAAGACCATACCATCCCAAAAATCGATTAAGGGTTTCTGCACCCAGTCAAGGTTACACTTTTTACGAAGATAAAAATGACTCTAACTTAGGAAGAATCATCGCTTTAGGGTATAAATGTGGATATGAGCGTGAGTGAATGTAGTTGTGTGGGATGCGTTTGTATGCGGATGGATGTACACGCTGATGAGGAGAACACACCCACACCCACATTAGACACCATAAATTATGTTTTCTAGCTTAAAATGTTTAGCACTATACGAATTCGAGGCGAACATGATTTCCTGAAGTCGAACAACAAGCAAACCGACATATTGGGTGTGAGGATGTGCAACTTTAGTTTTGCACCTGAATATCTCCATGCTATTGAGTCGCGAGCACAATGTTGCCACCGCCTGGAAAATCGCCATAATAGATAATTCTACCAGCTTCGTTCCACGGGACTGTGCAAGGCACCAACAATGTTTGGGTCATGGCTTTCTATAGACTTTGTAGGTATCTCAAAGGAAATTAAATAGGTCCCGTGATTCATATGATGAGCTCATGCAGGGATAAATTCGAAATTGCACAACAGTATCCTCAAGATTAGTGATTTGTGCTAAAAGTCAAATATACTAAATTGCTACGACACATTGATGTTGGATTCTGGTTTTCCCTATCCAGTTTTCTTTGGTGAAATTTTTGGCAACAACGCTATGAGAGATCTATATGTTGGAATAATGCAAACACAGACACATATCGATATTCTTCTGTAGTGTATCCTTTGTTTCAGAAAATGGAATTTTCCCAACAAATTATTCAGTGGATGGATATTTTTATATTGACTCAAGATTGTCGAGAGCTACGCTCGATTGAAATTTCGATTTCACACTAGTTTATTAATTTATTTTGAAGTATTCGTTCGATAAGATGATGCCTTATCAGGTGTTTTGTTTCCTAGTTGAATTTTCAAATAAAAATATCAACTCGCAACCTCCTAATTATTCATGTCGGTTTCTTCAATATCTTTTGTGTAATATGATTCCTAATGAGTGTTAGAGTTAATTCTGAGAAAAAACGGACCCTCCATCTCAGAGACTGACAGCGACTAGCGTGACCTGAAGTCTTGTTCGGAATGAAAATAGATCGAGCATGTTTCACATTTCAAATCCCCAAGTATTGCTCTGAAATTTTTTCTTCCAGAAATGAGGAATTGGTCTATCTTATTCTCAGCTAATTGAACTGAGGAAAATCTTAAGTATACAGTTTAGAGAAAGCACGACAAAGAGAGTATCGACAAGCTGTACCTCGTATGATGTTTGGCGAATAATCCGGATTTTTTGAGCAAGAGATCTACAACATATTCTGTCAATCTATTGAAATACCGATGACTTAGTTCTACTTGATGTGACATCAACGAATCTTCACTGCAGTGGGTGTAGCAGAACTCACATGGCAAACTTGACTCTTGAACTCTCACAGATTGTCTTGATGTCTAAAAGAGACACATAACAATGATTTTTCAATTGAAAAATTAGAATAACAATCTGATACAGACTGAATTTGGTGCTGCAACCTGTATATATACATTTTCTCTCGTATCCACCATATCTGATATCAAGATGTGGGTGTAGGTGTGGGTGTGCCAATACTCTTCATTGACACCCACACCCATGAATCAATATAAATATATAGTTACCAAATCGGTTAAATCTGTTGCCTCGTATAGAGCTTGGGTGTTGATAGACGAAGGTATGTTGGTTCAAATGCGTCGTGGTCTGTGGGTGTGAGTGCAGGTCTTCTTCTCTTCTTCTATATCCAAACTCACTCCCAAAACAACACCCACATCTTCTGATCGACATTCTATCATGGTATGTCTATAGCTGCTCTCTGGCTAGTATTCTACTGTCGCAACGCTGACGGTGATCTGAACGAAAGCGCAATACGGAGGCTACGGCACACTTCGAATGTACCACAATTTCATAGCGATAATAACACTAGTTTATCATTGTTACAGAAATTAAACTTGTAGTAATTAGAAACATCATTCTACCATTCTGTACCTAATACAAAAAGTGAAATGGAACGGCTTGACACTGTGCAAAATTGTGTTACCCATGACTCGTTCTTTCTATTAATACAAGTTCTTCTAAATCGAAACACTGTGGACCCGTTTATTGATATCTTGATTTTAAAAACTATTGTTGTTTATGAGTTGTTCTTATCCAACCTAAACATTAACTCAATTATTTGCTCAAGATTAGAACATAAAAAAGATAACGAGTTAATAAAAAGGTGACATATTTTTCTCTATTCATATGTTATCGTTCGGTGTAAAGGTTTTATAATGTCGTTTTATATGCTCTATATTTGGTTTCTGACATTGGTCCCTGGATCGTTTGGTTTCAATGTCTTGATGATTACTCTTGGCTTTGCAGGTCATGCTATTCCAATGTTTGAATTAGCAAAATCAATGAAGAATCATAATGTGACATTTCTTACGGAATATCATGCTCAATCCTATTTAAATTTTGAATCATATGCTAAATTATCTTCATTTCGTATCATTTATACGAATGATTCAGTTGATGCATTTATTAATGAAAAGAAGCAAGAAAAAGAACTAATTGAATATTTTATGCGCCATTCTCTTTTAGATAGTGTAGATTATATGATATCAGTAATAAGTCCGACTAACAGTGCTTTGATGACCAAATCAATCAATTTATTAATGTCGGAACGATACGATGTAATTATTGGTACTTCATTAACGATGGGTGTAAATCTTCTATGCAAGCAAGTAAATACATCATGTGTAATAATAATTCCGGAAAAACGGTTGAATAGATTTGATGTTAATCTACCTCTTAGCAATTCATTGCTATCATCAAAATATTTGACCGAATTGAAATATCGTATTTACAATTTTGCTTTCACTTTACGTTTCATAGTCCCTCTCTTTAAAACAATATTTAAAACATACTACAAAATTTTACTATCGCTTCCTCAGGTACCCGGACCTTTTTACGAAGTATTTACATTAAGAAATATATTATCGACAAAATTAAATTGTTTGCAATTGTTCAGTTTACCACCAACGCTCTATCCACCATCGTCTTTGCCTCATGATACTAAATATCTTGGTGGATTTGTAGATAATTTATCCATTGAATATGTTGAAAATGATTTTACAAGATGGATTCAATCGAAACCTCCAAAATCCATTGTTTATGTGGCTTTTGGCAGTATTTCTATACTCAACCAAGTTAGAATGAGAAATTTAGTATATGGCTTAGCTGAATTTCTTTTACAAAAAGATTCAGTTTCTATCTTATTAGCATTTCGTAATAGGAATTATGAAAATTATCAAATCATACTAAACGAAATGAAATATGATCAATATCGACAGATATTAATGGATGATCAACGAGTGAAAGTCGAAAATCGTTTTCTTCAACAAAAATGGATTTTACAACAGAATTCAGTCAGCGTTTTTATAAGTCATTGTGGAATGGGTTCACTTGTAGAAGGGCTTTACTTTGAAAAACTTATCATATGTTTACCATTATGCACGGATCAATTTTCGAATGCAATTTCGATCTATCATTCAGGAGTCGGAGAATCATTATTCGCACTACCATCTCTATGGAAATCGTTGTTTAGTCCACTCGATTTCCATGATTACATATTTTCAGCAAGTGATGTAACAACAAAACTATTAACAATCTGGAGAAACATTTCATACGAGCAAGCAGTTCGATTAATGTCACTCGAAATGAAACATGCAGGTGGCGTGAGAAAAGCAGTAGAAGAAATTGAACATTTAGTCAATTTGAATGGTAGTTTAGATCGGTATAAACCATTTCACGATATACTTCCATTCTATCAACGATATTTACTTGATATAGTACTCGTTTGTATTGTTTTACCTATCGCGACCGTATATTATTTACGCGCGAAATGTTGTAAAAGAAATCGAAAGGAAAAGAACGATTAATTAATAAATATTTGAAACAAAATAAAATGTAGACAAATTCTCCTGACTTTCATCTAATGGATGATAAAAAAAGAAATATTCATTGAATTTCTATTGGCTCTTGCTCCAACAGCTAAGCTGATGTAAAATATATGTATGCACTAAACCTGGGTACAGATCGGCAATGCCGGATTCGGTCATTCCCGGTGCCTAAAATACTGCATTTAGTTATTCATTTAGTTGAGTCATTGCTAGACATCTGGAGAACCCGAGAGCACACCTAGAATACCGAATCCGAACTTCCCGGGTTCGGTCGTTCCCGGCTTAGATGAATGTCTAATGTAGACCAAAGTACATGAATAACTAAATCTAGTATTTTAGATATCGGGAATGACCGAATCTGGGAGCACCAAATCCTGGAAAGTTCGGGCTCGGTGCATGCCTGGCAAAATCAGCTCACGAAACGATCATCCGAAGTGTAACCTGTCGTTTAAGCTCATATTGGACCTATGAGAAAGTATTGATAAAACTAGCAAAAGCATAAAAGGGTTTATCTCCATCAATCTTTGGTGCTGAGTGGTGATCGGTTCGCTGAATTTCTGACCCATTTTTAGGTATTTGGTGAAAAATCAAAAACACAAAATTTCTACTGAATTGTTTCCGTATAGATAGGTTTAACGAACCTTAGAATATCCTGAAAGTTGTAATCGAACATAACGTTTTTTTATCTAGATATTGACATTCCAAAAAAAAAGAATAGTCGATTTCTATAAACATCTGACAAAAATCGAGTTTATTTGAAAACTCAATGTCTAGACAAAGGAACTTTATTTTCGATTGAAACTTTTAGGATATTCCAAGAGTCATTAAACCTATCTATGAAGGGCGTCCCGTAATAACAGAGGATAAATCGTTAATGATATTTTTCATACCTTTTCTTGACGTATAAGACTGAAATTTTTATCACATTTATATCTAATGAAGATCTTTTATTTCTGGAAGTTTCAGCTCTCTGGCTAAAACCAGTGATGAAATGCCTCGAGAAGACTGAAATACATAAATTTTCGAAAATGAGGGTGTCGGTGTGGGTATGGGATGTGAAATCGATATTGAAGGCTCGATTCTAGTATGCATCACATCGGGATACTTTTAATGAGATTTTCACATGAAAGAAATCATTTTTTTGTAGGAGGTTGATTTCATCAATTATCGATTCCTTTCTTTTGGATTAAGCTAATTTTCGCCTTGAATATTCCACTTCAATAAATACTTTACGTTGAACATCTGTAATAATAGAAAGGAAAACTGAAGCGATTCAAACATAACGAACAATACTCATGTTGATAGTCTGCTATGTTACTAAAGGGTAACTTAATAAATAAGTTGTACGAAAAAATATGAGTGTTCATGAAAGAAGTCTTATCGTTACCGAGCATAGAAGCTGGATGCTTAACATTGCGTGGATATACACCACTGTACATTCGATTATGCGGACTTTGAGTAATGTCGTCACGAAAAAATCTAGCTCGTGTCCTTGCATTCTTAGTTTTCTAGTCTCGGTGTTTTCCACCATGTCGATGGCAAATTTCATTGTTTTGAGATTCATTTAGACATTCAGTAATCGAGCACAGTTTTCGTCACTTACGGCCACCAAATCGCCATCGTACGCCATTATTGTCTGCCTTGATCTGTCCTTTCTCACGCAATATCTTCAAACAAGCTCTGCCATGAGGCATATCAATCTAAAAGATGATATACTAGACATTTTTCATGTTTCTTGAGCAGATCGAACTTATAATTAACTTACTGGCTAAGAAAGACGAGATCGGTTCGGTTCGAACTTTTGAAAAAAAAACTAGATCGATTTTGAAAAGTCGCTAACCAATGCCATATTAAACTGATACTCTAATGCATTTGTTAGCACATTATAAGTTTTGACATGATTCGTTTTTTTGGAGTGCATGGGATGGGTGTGCGTCTGAAGTCTCTACCGACGTGGAGGAGCAAATGGAAGACTCATTTTCATCGTGCTCCCTCCCTCACCCTCTCTAGATGAATGCCCGAAAAAATATTTGCCAATCTTTGAATTATTTTCTTAGCTCAGATAGTTACACAGTTTGGAACAATTTTCTTGTTAAATAAGAATCTGGTTTCGTAAGGTGATTTACGTCTCAAACAGACTATTGATAGTCAATATACAAGCGAAAAAGGTTCAGTGAGCCGATGCTTCCGACTAACTTGTGTCGAAAATGTTTTAAGTAGCGAGAAATCATTTCAGGTTGAAGGTTTTACTGAAGATATAATTTAGCTTGTGTTACCTTTAAAATTCTCTACCGAATGATATAGAATGATTGACTCTTCGGTTCATAATTGACGTCGATCCATGTTTCATATTGAAAAGCACCATTTTCTGTTATGCCACATGGCCATCAAAAAACCACTTATCATAACTCTTTTTCTTGCCAGGAGCACATTGATGATTTTGTTACGGTGAAATATTCTATAGATACCTTTCTCTTTCAAAAGAAGAAAACCAAATCGAAATCTGAAATTTCACCAACTTTATGTGATATCGGACAATTTTCTAACGAGTTTGCTTTCAAGTGATACTTATGGATTCATTATTAGCAATAACTAATTAATCATCATAGATGACCATCGATTGGTTCATAATGAACACTTTCGAGTAATAAATTGTTGTACAATTCATAACTAGAACGAAAGCAGTACCAGTTCGGAGGTACTAGTCAACTGACACTCTGCTTATTTGTGACCATTCACGAGTTCGTGCGTACTGAACCTTTTACGGTGTTAGTCACAATCTGAAGAAAAAAATCGTTCCTCGTGTACCAAGAGGAAGAGGAGTAGGG